CAAAAACAAAAATTCAATTTTCTCTTCAATGTATTCACTGAAAAATTGAAATACAAAAATTTATTGAGAATTACTCCCCAAAAGCATCCCTAGAGAGATAAAATACCCCATTATAGAGCTGTAGCTCTATAACACAACGTAACGTATGTTCTTATTCTGGGGTTTACATATAGTCATCAACAAAAGATATAAAAAACCACACTAGGTCGAAAAATCCGTGACATAACTTATGGAGAAGGGACAAAAATGTTCTCGAAGTCCTCCTTTCACGTATTGCTTATTCTCTATACTTTTTGCTTATTCTATATACTTATATATATAAGAGTATGTAGAAAATGTTAATTCGTGTGTTAGTGTGTAGGATGTCAAAATGTTCTCGAAGTCCTCATTTCACGTATTGCTTATTCTATATACTTATGAACGGAGTATGAAGAGATTTTTAATTCGTGTGTTAGTGTGTAGAATGTCTTTTCTTTAACAACAAAAAAACGAGCGTTACTGTAGGATATCTTTTGTAAATTTGGTAGATGTTAATAGTTTCCCAAAGAAATGTTAAGGGCACAAGAAGATAGATTATTTAGTGACTGGGTTAATAATACTAAAGAAGAAAAAGCGAGGGGTTTAATGGAAAACTAGAGTGGGCTCGGAGCGGGGCCGGATGGTTGCATACTTGCAGTTTTGTCAGTATTTCCGGCCGCACGAGCACATCTTGTGTGACCTCCAAAGATTCTCTCCTCCATTTTTGTTTTGTTTTAGCTTTCAAATAATTTATGTAGTTTTTCTTTTAATTTAGAGCAATATAGAGAGAAAATACTTGTTGCAATGGAAAGAAAGAAAATAAAATCTTCTTAAGAAAACTTTGGTCCAAAAATGTAATAAAAAGGAAACAATAAACAACTTTTTTTGTTAAAATATTTAGTAGAAATAACATAAAAATGGGCCGAAGTCTCTAAGATAAGACGAAAATTTGATTTGATATGAAAATCTTACCTATCACTTTCATGCATTAATAATGAAAATGATATTTTTCTTCTTAATAATAAGCTTTTTTTCTTAGAATAGCGGAATCATCGCATTAAAATCTGCCTAATTTATGGTACAACTATTACGTACATTTAATATTGTTCAATTTCTTTTTGTTTGTCATGGATGTATTAGTGTTTTTTAATACGTTAGGTGTTAACCGAACAACGAACCACAGTATAGCGCATTGATATATGATTTATTGGTAAATGAGAAATTTACACTTGATTTGAATATTATGATTGATCCATAAAAAAGATACACATCTTTAATAAATTATATTTACAAAAAAAATTTCCCTTTACCGGATTTCCAATAGAAGTAAGTACGTCGTAGTTTCGTGGAGGAATCAACTTATGAGCAAAGCCGATATTTAGGTAGATTTAGGTTGAAATATTGTTCCTCGCTGTACATATAACGTTGAATTTGTAGGAAACTGTGAATATATAAATAAACACACGCATCGTCCACAAAAAGGTATGATAAATTGAATATATCACTGATCGAGGCACTATTACTAAGGGAACGTGACATCCTATGTATTGAGAAGTCAATCGTCGACCCATGTTAACGTATTAAAGCCTCTCTCCTGCACGGATCTCTTCTTCGATCTTTGTCTCAATATCCCATAGTTGGATCTCTTACCTATCAAATTTTAGCGGGAGAGAATTTGTAGAGATGTTCATGTTCGACGACATTTTGCGTTAAATGTTTGAATTTATAGTATTGATTGTTTCTTTAGAAATTAAAAATTTGCCTTACATTTTCGAGTTATTTGATTGTATCCAAAAAATAAATACATACATTATAGGCCTGGGCTTGCATGTAAGGATGGTGCATATAACCCGAGTTTGAACTTTGAAAAGTTAGTTTTAGCGGGCCTTAAGGGCCCAACATATCGGGCTCATATTGTAATCCCAGACCAGATCGGACGGCCAGCTGTGCGCAGTGGGTTTATGTCATGTGGGACCCAATGTGTTTCGCACCATCTTCGTTACTTTTAATTATTCTCCGAACAGTTCGAAGAAAAGGATCGTTGATGTAGCTCCGGTAATAATTTACTCTCATCCTCAATAATGTCGGCGCATTTCTCCGTCGCTTGACCATTAATGCTCAAAATTATTTACCTCTTTTCACCTCAAAATCCATCGCTATTCGCTTCTCTGTAACAGCCCTCGTTGAATGGACTCTGGTCTTAGGTACGCTTTTCGATGTTTCCAATTGGATTCGATTCGCTTCTCTGTTTTTCTTTTTTTCTTTTCCCCCAGATGATTGTTGAATCGGGAATTGAGTTTTGTTCATCGTAGTTCGTTTGAGTTCTCTTCTCACTGTAAATCAGTTCCTTTTTTCATAAAGTAGTGAGCTGAATCTAGTACTTGAGTGTTCTAAGCAATCTAGGAATTTTCAGATTTGTCTCTGATAATTTGATACCTTGATATTGTTTCAGGCATGAATCACGAAGTCCCTGAATCTGTGGAAAAAAATGGTGACTCAGTTCCTGCTGATAATCCTGGGGTTATGAATCACAGATCATCCGCAGATGCAGAATCTATAGAAAACGGATTATTAGTATTGCCTGATGATGATCATGAGGAGAGTATTGGATCACCTCAACAATCTGATGGTTTTAGAGATGAATCTCCGGGTGGATCAGTGCAGCAATTGAGAAGAAAAGGTTTCGGTTTGAAGAAATGGAGAAGAATCAAAAGAGATGGTCCGGTGAAGGATGAGGCTGCAGCTTCTGCACCTGTTGATGATGGTGGTAAGTTGCTGAAGCGTGGATTGACTGGCTCAGTGAATCCTCCTTCTAAACATGTGGACTTGTCTTCAGTTGAAGCAAGGCAGAGTAGTGAAGAAGGCTCTGTTGGATCTGTGAACATGGTGCATCATCATCATCACCATCACCATCCCGGTTTAGCCAACGGGTTTAGTCCCGATCCCGGTTTTATGTCGTTTACCGTAGGCCAAGCTTTTGAGAAAGGTGAAGAACATACCGGAGGGAAGATTGTTTCAGGGAATGATACCATCAAGAAGAGCAGTGAAGATCGGAAGAAAACAGAGAACGAAAAGCCTTGTTCCAGTTTGGATTCCGACTTGAGAAGTAGTGATTTTGTGTTTTCCAGTGGTGCTGTTTCTGTTGCTAACAATGGAGGTCAGGTTAAGGAGGAGGAAGTTCAAACATATAGCGAAAATGGCGAAAACGATGAAGATGGAGGAAGCAAGAGTAAGAAAAACAACCGTTATTGGGGAGACAAGGATCAGATTGCAGATTCTATTAGGAATCTTTCAGCTCTGCAAGAAGCTCTTTGGAAAGGTTTGTCACACAAACTCATAAACCTCTCATTGTTATTTGATGTTTTTTAAGCTAACTACTATGTGGTTGAAACATGTGCAGAGGTTCAGAGTTTTCAGGAGCTTGGTAAAGAATCTATACCGCTACATTCGGACATAGTAGAGAGTTGTAGAGAAGAGAACTCAACATCGTCAGGATCACAGGCACTGGTCTTAAAGCAGAAGGTGAAACATCTCGAACACAAACTAGAGGAAGCAAGGAGTATTCTCGAGGCAAAGGAAGATAGAATCCAAGAACTTGAAAACTTAAAGATTGAATCTGAACTTGAAGGCATCTTCCAGAGAAGGATCGAAACTGAAATCTTGCATTTGGTGCTCACAAGTTCTCTGGATTCACCACTACAAGTACTCAAAGAACCGAAGAAGAAGGTACATTCGCTGACAGAAGATCCTGAACCAAACCGTGGAAACATGTTAGGAAAAACATGCAAGTTCAGTCTTTATCTCTTGACACAACTGATCTTGCTCGTCTCCGTACTTCGGTTTATGCTCCTCCAAGTCTCTCCTGCTTCACGATTAGTTATACCAACTTGATAAAAAAATCCATAGATTTCGCTTGTTCTTGTTGTGTTACCATACATTTTTGTTTTCTTTCAGCATACCATTTATTGTTGTAATAATAAAATCTCTTTCAGATATACTAATGCTCAAGCAAACTCTTTTAAGGATTCTTGTCCCGACAGTTCTCTGTTAAATTCACTTTATATAAGATTATAATTGAAACTACAACTATATCAAATTTTAAATTTTATTAATTAATTAAACTATAAATATTTATAATTAATTTTTAAATTCATATTATCATACTAATGACTTAGTTATTTGTTTGTGTCATGATTTTAATTTGAATTTCTTAAATGTAATGTTTTGAACTATTGCACTATTGTGATCCTAAATTTTATAAGTATATTTTGAATACTATTTAACGATACATGAATTATCTTTAATCGATGATTACCCGATAATATTATATTGTTTATACTTAACATTTTCGCATATTTCTGTATATAAGCAAACGAACAAAATTTTATACAAAAAATTGTAAATATATTACATAAATACTTAGTTATTATCATTATTTTCCTTTAAACCTTCAATGCTAACTTTCATTTATTTATTTATTTACTCATAATTGTTATTTAAACCTGAGAATGTGAATAGTTAACTTGAATGTAGAAACTGAAAAATCATCAACCATTTAAATTGTTTTTAAATTTTTTTTTCTAATAAATAGATGCCACGTGGCATTTAATCATAGGAAAGACGAATCAATTCATTATCACACCAAAACCGCAACCTCATCTCCATTTCAATCCCAAATTTTATCTTCATTTGTCAGCCTCGCTCCTGTCTGCCGCCTTCCCGTTCTCTTTCAAGATTCTACCTTCGCCCTCACACCCTCTCAATCCGCGTCTTTGGTGTGCCAAAATAGTGTATTTCAAAGTGGCTAAGGCAATCTATCAATCTGTATGATAGTTTTGAATCTTCAATGGAAGGCTTAAAGTCTTTTTTCAACACTGTCAAGGTTTTATTTTAAACCATCTCATTCTCTTCCATGAAAATTTATGACATAATAATCATTAAATTTCTCTGAGAATTGCTTGCAGGAACGAGTTGACAGTAAGATGTTAGGTTCCCAAGATAGTACTGTTGAGCAGAAACCAAAGATATCTGAAATTTCGAGATCCATGCGGCAACCTGGTTTGAACAATGGAACCTCCATTTCAGAGTTATCGTCTCCACCTGCTCAGACATTCATTCGAGTTAAAGAGGAACCTAAATGCTACAAATACAAAGAAGTCATTGACCTTGAGTGTGGTGTTCAACCTGAGCCTGCAGGGTAAATATATAAGATTCAGTCACAGCATAACTAAAAAACTTTGATTTGAAGTTGTGCAGAATGTAAGAATAAACTTTAAAAACTGTCACATGTGCAGGTGTTGTGAGGTGTCGTCGGTGACCAACTGTGATGAAGATCCAGAAACTTCTTTTGTTAGGGGAACCTCTTGTATGATCAAAGGTTGTTCAGCAGCCAGTTCGTGTTCTTGCTCGAAGAATGAAAGCTCGAGCTCAGCAACAGGTTTTAGATCTCTGAGGTCTCCTGATCAGTTCTTAAAGCAGCATAGATCTACTGCAAGTTTCAGAAAAACTCCTCTTGGAGCTGAATCGTCTGTAACTCCAGAGAGACATTCCATTGGTGATTTGACTCCAGAAGCAGAGTCATCTTATAAAAAAAGTGTTAATTCCCATGCTCTGAAGAGAAGAAAGTTTATTAGCTCTCCAGTCATCATTGATCTTGAAGAAGAAGACAACAGTAATGATCCTAGTACTAGACCAGCGGATCACACGAGTTTCACAAGAAGAATTGAATTTGGGTTTGGTGGTAACGAACCAAGATCCCAAAACTACAATGTATCTTGTTCTATCTGCAGAAGTCCTTTAGGTCACCCTGAGAGCCACTCATACATCAGTTGCTCCTTGACTTCGTCGTCCAAAACGTATTTGATGTCTCTGCTGAAAGAAACATCAGGAAGTGGTTCTTCAGAAATGCCAACAAGTGTTTCAGTTGTCATGACAGACAGCTCATTGGTTAATCAGAGACTCTGCAGAAGTTCTGAAGGCTCAAAAGCTATTTGGTGCGACGAAGATGGATGTGTTTTCAATTCTATCTTCTGCCCTTTCTGCAATATCCCAAACACTTGTCTTGGAGTCCAAGTCATGGCAACTGATTCGTCAAATGTCCAGTTTATGAGAAAAGTAAGCTGACCTCCTTTGTTGCAGATTCTTCAGAGTAGTAACTATCTCTCATTTATGATTTTGTGTTCATTGTCTTGATCTGTAATTTACTTGTTGCAGACTTTGTTCTTTGCTGATCAAGTAGATGTCACAGAAGTTGATGCAAGCAAGGAAACAGCGTTAAAGCATAAGGTATGAGAAGCAACTTGAGGTTTCATTTGGAATACTGAGTTTCAAGTTCCCTAACCTTGGTGTTAACTAGCTTCTTCACCTGTGCAGTTGAGATTGCCAAAGCAAGAGGACCCAGAAAACTAATGCTATCATGCATCCACAAGCTGAACTGGTCTGATTCACAATGAGGTGGCTAGTCAAGCCAACCACACTGACATCAAGTTGGCTTGAACCGCCTCCGGTTGGAACCGTTCATATTGTTTTCCACTATCGTTCCCAAATCTAATATAGCTTCGAAAAATAGTCCTCTTGTTATTTGAGAAATAGGATTTTATATGAAACCGGTGTTAAACCTTGATGATTACGTAACAGATAATTATATTCTTTTTAAAATTTCTATTCTAGCTTCGTTCCAAGATGGTCCATCTTGAGAGAAAGGCTATGAATGGTGAAGGTTAGAGTAAGCGGAAGTAAATGAAAGAAAAGTAATTGAGAGGGATGAAAAAATGAAAGTTAGAGTAAAAGTGTTTTACTCCATAGAAAATGAGTGTTATAAATAACGCTGTATATGGCGTTATTGGGCGAGAAAATCATTTTGTGTTCTCCACTTGAATGGTTAATAACCAGCGTAAATGAGAGTAAAAAATATTTTCCATCTAATCTTTTATCCTAACTTGACCATCCATTCATACCCGAACAGTTTTTATTAACAATCACTTTATTGGTAGGGGTGATATTCTAGTGGAACTAAAGAGAAAATATAAAGATACGTAAAAATCATCTAGGAACCTTGTTGGAGGTAGTGAGTGGTATTGTCAACAAGCCTGTCGTGCTTTAAACCAACCAGCAGGTGCAATTAATGTGTATGTGATGTAACTTGCCTCATGTCAGTATTATTAACACTATATAACAACAATTGTATTTCTTCTTTACAGGGCGATGTATTCGGCATAGGTTTGGTTATGGTATCATCATATTTTTAGGTAATTATAAGATGTTAATATCTCTAGATTGTCACACTGCTCAAATCTGTTAAAACTTTTTTTTTGTTTTGATATTTCAGATGAACGATACAGACAACCAAGGAACAGAGCCTCTATTTCAAAGTGGCTAAGGCAGTCTATCAATCTGTATGATAATTTTGAAGATTCTATGGAAGGCTTAAGATCTCTTTTCAACACTCAAAAGGTTTTAAACCATCTCATTCCCTTCCATGAAACTTTGTTTTACATAATACTCATTAAATTTCTCATGAGAATTGCCTGCAGGAACCCGTTGACAGTAAGATGTTAGGGTTCCAAGACAAAACTGTTGAGCAGAAGTCAAAGATAGCTAAAGTTTCGAGATCCAAGCGGCTTTCTTGTTTAAGAAATGGAACCTCCATTTCACGGTCATCATCTCCACCGGCTCAGACATTCATTCAAGTTAAAGAGGAAGCTAAAACATAAGAGTCTCTCAAACTCAACAAATTGGATTTGATATTTTGGTTTTTCATTTGTTTTTTTGGATGAGAAACTACTATTGGAGAGTTGCTGTAAAACAAGTGCCAATGAGAGTTTACGAAACGACCAAAATAAACAAATAAGCCCACTTAAGGTCCATTTATTACACGGTATACGAAAGTATTGCCGTTTGTTCAATCATAAACGATCAGAACTGTACGTCGTTTTTAGGTCTCACCCCTGCCTTTACGGGCGCCAAAAAAAATAGAAGCTCGAAAAATTGGTAGTATTTTCCCTCCCATTTATCAACAACGCAAATTTCTCGAACTACACTCCTCCTACTTCGTCATTTCTCCCGTCACCGACTCCGAAGGATCTCGACGACGATGGTTTCCACAACCAGCAAATCGGATTCGAAGCACGAGGAGAGACAAACCCTAAACTCGAAAACCCCTAAAAATCTCTACCAAATCGGAGGACTTCAAGTCGAATTCCCTTATCAGCCGTACGGGACCCAGCTAGCGTTCATGAGCCGGGTCATTTCTACGCTCGATCGCGCCCAGAGAGACGGTCACTGCCACGCGCTGCTCGAGTCTCCCACCGGTACGGGGAAATCTCTGTCCTTGCTCTGCTCGGTTCTCGCTTGGCAGCAGAACTATAAATCGCGGCTTCTCAAAGGGAATTTGTCTCATTCGAAACCTGCGCCGGAAGCAGCCACCGATCCATTGAATCATGGAGGCGGATTCATACCGGAAACCCAACCCTCAGGTTCGTCAATCGTCATGACCTTTATGAAATTGCATCTGTGACTGGATTAATTAATTTTTAATTTTTAATTTGGGGGTTTATCTCTGAATTAGATACTCCTTTACCTAGCAATGCGGAGGCAACTAAGAAAAGAGCCAAAATTCCTACGATATACTATGCTTCGTAAGCTTTACATCAACAATTTTGGAAATGTTTCAAATAAAATTATAATTTTCTTGTTATCATTGATTGATTGTTTGATTTTGCCTTGAAGACGAACTCATTCTCAGATAACTCAAGTAATTCGTGAGTATCGGAAAACTGGTTACAGAGTTCCCATGGCCGTATTGGTATGTCAAAATTGATTTGCCTCTCTTTTGTTAATCAAGATTCATATTTTATTCACCGCACTCCTAAAAAGTTGTATTGTTTCCTTCTTATGTCCATCTTCATTGTGTAAGGCTTCACGGAAACATTACTGCACTAATCGTCATGTTCATGGGAAAGACAATGTAGATGAAGAATGGTAAGTTTCCATCCACATTCATACCATTTCACCATTCTTTTCAGTTATGGCTTAACCTCTAAAGTAACATGTGCTCTCTTTTCTTGACAGTCGGTTGCTCCTAAAAGATAAGGGAAACATACAATGTTCTGAGTTCAAGTGAGTTTTTGTTGTGATAATCTAAGTTCTTTGTTTTCCCCCTTTTGTTGCTAGCTCTTCGAATCATGTAATTGTTTTCCTTAACTTACAGGAACGTTAGTAAAATCACAGCTCATCCATCACTTCAGCCAAGAGGTCACAATGAGGTTCACGATATTGAGGATCTTG